GATCATTTTGGTATAACTTTGAATTTTAATATTAGTGTATGTGTATATATTTTGAAGTAAACTGATTTACACAACATATCACTAAAGTGACAACTTTTATGTTAAATTGATTTATTTTAAAATGTAAACAACTGTATGGGAATAATTTATGTGAATATTAATTAGTTCTAAGGAATGTTAATATTTAACATGATTACCTTCCTACTTGTCATAATAAATACATAACAGTTATTCAGTTTCGCATGTGAACTATAAATCGGCTTAAAGTAAGATTTATTATTTAACATGTTCTTACTATTAGTATTTGATTACTACGCCACGATATCACTTACAATTTAATATTTTATCTAAAGATAGAGTATTAATGGAGTACTCAGTATCTTGATAAGAGATTTATCTTTATTTGAATTTATCATTACTGTTTCTTATTTAAAGACTTATGTGAGTTTTGTTTTTTGATTTGTTGTTTATTCTCTAGTCAATTTCCAGTTCTGCTGTAAATATCTCTACGAATGTGAATTTAATTCTTATGCTAAATGGCATAAATTTCAAGGCGTGGCAAGATAATATTTTAATTATTCTAATGGTCATGGATCTAGATCTTATTTTACAGGTCGATGAACTCACTAGACTTACTGATGAGAGTACCTCTGAGGCCAAGATAGAGTTTGACAGGTGGAAATGATCAAACTGTATAAGTCTGATGATTATGAACGTGTCATTCTAGAAACTTTTAAGAGCATTATATCTGAGAAGATCACTATGGCTAAGCATTTCCTTGAGGACATAGAAAAATGATTTGCTAAGAATGAGAAGGCTAAAACTAGTACACTCTTACTAAACCTTATCTCGATGAGGTACAAAGGGAAAGAAAAAATCAAGGAGTATATTATGAAAATATCTCACATTGTTTTAAAATTGAATGCACTCAAGTTAGAATTATTTAAATACTTATTAGTGTATTTGGTTCTGATCCACAGTTCAGTCAATACAATATGAGTTATAACTATTAAAAGAACTATTGGTCCCTTAATGAGCTCATCTCACATTATGTCCAAGAAAATGAAAGGTTGAAACATGAGAAGGCAGAAAGTGCTCACTTAGCCATTATCTCTAAGGACATCAGGAATAAGAAGAGAAAGAAAGATAAGAATGTTACAGTTCTAGCACTATAGAAGAAACAACAGAAGTACAAAATCAAGATGTATGTTTCTTCTACAAAGCTGCAGGTCATTAAAAGAAGCAATGTACCAACTATCACGCGTGATATGTAAAGAAAGTTATGTTTCTAAACTTTATTTGTTCTTAGGTTAATTTAACTTCAGTACCTAAACACACTTAGTAGATAGATTCTAGTGCAATAACTCACATCAGTGTGTCTATACAGAGTTGCCTGAGTTGCCGAAAACCAAGTGATAATGTCATATACAACTATGTTGGTGACGATAAGTCAGTAGAAGTTGAAGCTATTAGAAATTTTAGAATACGAGTAGAACTTTTATA